TAAAGATAAATTCTGACTGATTACATTTCACGATTTCTTTTCTTTTCTTTTTTCTTTCTTTTTTTTTTTTTTTTTTTTTTTTTTTGATAATTTTTTTTTTTTTGTTTTGTCTCTCTAGGATGTGTGCGCTCACCAGAAAGACAGAGAGAAAAAGAGAGACAGAAAGCAAGAAATCACCCCCCAGGGAGGATGGACATGCCGCAGTCCCTTCTTCTCCATTCTCCTCTTGGGATCTTGGGCACACACGCACACACGCCTGGCATGAATTTAAGCCACCAGGTCTAGGACTCGAACCACAGTCGACTACATGGGAGTCCAGAGACATAGCCATTGTGCCAACTAATGGTCCTCGCGATTTCTTCCTGACGAATAAAGAGCGTGTGGTCGTAAGTGAGCTGTCTCCAAAGTAGGATACCAGGTATGCAACTTCTGGGAAGATTTCGTGCAGAAACAAAAGTGATTCTTGTTTGACTCCTCCACAGAACTCTTGTCCCTAAGTTGGGGGCTCATTTTACTGCTGGCCCAGCCCCCCACCCCCGAGTGTTCTAATTTACAAGTAAGTCCTCATGATTCATTTAATAGAGAGAACCAAGGCCAGAGACGTTTCTGTGATTCCTGGGTTTTTGGGCTTGAGCAAGTATAAAAGTAGTGAACTATTTACACGGTTAGAAAAGTTTAGAAGAGGAACAAATATCTGGGTAACAGGAGAGGTAAGGTCATGTTTGGAGGACAAGGGCTACTGTGGGAACCAGGACTTGAGCCCACGCCATCCTATGCTACCTCTAGTAGGGGCACGTGGATACTGTACTGTCACTATGCTGTCCTTCGTGAGGTGAAAGGCGGTGGAAGTATCGGTAACAATCCCTTTAAATTTCCAATTGGCTTCAGCCAATTTTTTCATTATTTATTTTATTTTTTTAAAGAGTGTTTTTGTGGGACCAGCAGTTGGCGTAATGGCTATGTTGCTGGACTCCCATGTAGTTGACAGCAGTTTGAGTCTCGGACCCAGTGACTTAAACTCACGCCAGGCGTGTGTGCGTGCGTGCCCAAGATCCTGAGAGAGGAGAATGGAGGAGAAGGGATTGCAGCATGGCCATCCCCCCTGGGGGGTGATTTCTCGCTTTCTGTCTCTCTCTTTCTGTCTTTCTGGCACACACACCCACCCTATAGCAAACCCCCCCCCCAAAAACAAGAGAACGTTTTTGCTATAAGACACATGCGCTCACCAGAGAGACAGACAGAAAGCGAGGAATCATCCCCCAGGGGGGTGGCCACTCTGCAATCCCTTCTCCATTCTCCTCTCAGGACTTTGGCCACTCACACAGCATGAGTTTCAAACCATCGGATCTGGGACTCAAACTGTAGTCGGCCATGCGGGAGCCCAGCAACATTACCATTATGTCACCTGCTGGTCCCAAGCCAATTTATTTTGTCTCCTGGATGGTTTACACTCACTGCAGGGTGTCTCTTCCGCAGATGCTTCATTTGACATCTCAACTTGTCCTTTTCTCCCAGTGAACATTACAACCTCAGCAGTTGGAGCCGGCTCAATGGCACAACAGTAAGGTGCTGCTCAAGGGAAGGTGAATCCACACGGAAAATTGTGAGTTCGGTTTTCTGGTCAACCTGTACATGCCAGGCATAAGGGACTCATGACCCTGGATGGCTGGGAAGGCCGGGAGGGCTTGGGAGGATCCCAGCATGAGACCCTGCTGAGGGTGCAGTGCTCCCTTTATCTCTCCTGAAATTAATTAATTAGTTAATTATTGAAAAACCTAGTGTGTGGATTTCTCCCCCAGACTTGCTTCTCCCTCCGTCCTCTTCATCTCACCTCTTCCTTTCCTGCAAGCTCCACATCAGCAAGTCTTACAGACTCTCCTGCCAAAATGTATGTTAAGTCCCTCTACCCCTCCCTTTCCAGGGTACTACCATAGTCCACAATGAGTGTGGTTAGCATCTGGTGTCCCACCGCATGGCAAGCACTGGGAGCGCAGCGTCCACCCCTGTGCTGTGCACAGTTGCACCTGGCGTAGCACAGACATTCTATCAGTACGTGTCCGATGAAGGAATGAGACCGGGTTTTAGATTAATCTCCTGTATGTGTATTTAGCATGAATGAATCTCCAGGGCCTACTTATTTGCTAATTGTATGGATCATGGGGAGTTTCTGATTCTGAAAAGAAGTGGAGAGTGCAACTTCCAAGTGTGATCCTTTGTCAAGGCTGCAGCCACTCCTATGGTGACACCTTGAGTGTGGCTAGGAGCAGATCCGTGTCCTGGAACTCCTTGGTCCACTTCATCCTTGGGATTTTAGGGTAAGAGATTTTTGTATCTAATACTCCTCAAAAAATCTAATGTCTCAAACTGAGAATTACAATGAAGAGGACAAATGATATTTAAGATGTAAACAAAACATATAAGGAGTAGGTTTAACCTAAAGTCAACAAGCAGCAGGAAATTCTAATGTTATGCTGTGAGCCTTACGTAAAAGTCATAAAGGCTAGGGTTTCAGGGTCAGTTCACACCGTGGGCTGGGTAATAAAGGAAGAGACAGCTTTGAATCATTTCCTGGTTTCCTGGTTATTACGTATTCCTCTCAAACAAGTATTTTTGGCTTTTTTTAAATGCATACACAACTTTTAAGAAACTAAATTACTGGGACCAGCAATTGGCATAATGGCTATGTCATTGGACTTCCACATAGTTGATCGCGGTTCGAATCTCGAACCTGGTGACTTAAACTCATGCCTGGAGTGTGTGCATACAGGCACAAGATCCCAAGAGGAGAATGGAGAAGGGATTGCGGCATGGCCACCCCCCCGGGGGGTGATTTCTCGCTTTCTGTCTCTCTGTCTCTGTCTTTCTGGCAAGCGCACACGCCCTGTAGCAAAAACCTCTTCCCCGCCCAATAAAAATTAAAAAAAGAAAGAAAAGAAACTAAATTACTAGAAATGGAGATGTTTAGAAAAGTGCTTGGCAACCCAGATACCATTGCCACAATAAAGTATGTGTACTACACTGCAGCTTCCAGCCACACTTTAAAATAGATGTATAGGGGACCAGTAGTTAGCGTAATGGCTATGTTGCTGGACTCCCACGTAGTTGACCGCGGTTCAAGTCCCGGACCCGGTGACTTAAACTCACTCCAGGTGCGTGTGCGTGCGTGCCCAAGATCCCAAGAGGAGAATGGAGGAGAAGGGATTGCGGTGTGATCATCCCCCCTGGGGGGTGATTTTTCGCTTTCTGTCTCTCTGTTTCTGTCTGTCTGGCAAGCGCACGTGCCCTATAGCAAAAATAAAAAAAAAAAAAAACCTCTCCAAAAAAAACCTCTCTCTAAATAAATAAATAAATAAGCAAATCATATATATATGTGTGCGTGTATATATATATATATATAATTTGTTTATTTGCCTCTTTCTTTATTTGTATATGTATATATATATTATATATATTATAATATGTATATATATATATATATATATACACACACACACATATGTGTTTATTTGGACCAGCCCCATAGCCTGGTGATTAAGGGAGCTGGATCCCACATGGCCAACTGCAGTTCAAATCCCAGCCCCAGTAGTTTGAAACACACATCAGACATGTGTCCATGTGTGCCCCAAATCCCAACATTATGGGGAAATGGAGAAGGGATTGCAGCATGACCATCCCCATTAGAGTACTTCTATCTCTTCCTCTTTTTCTCTGTCTCTCTCTCTGGCGAGCGCATATGCTCTGGCAATTTAAAAAAAGAAGAAAGAAAATAAATAAATAAAACGCTAACTGCTATTCCTATTATCCCAGATGTTTCTCATGGTCCTTATTTCTTTTAATTGCCAGAGGCACTGCCCAATGGGACATGATCATCTGCAATCCTCTCTCCTCCATCTCTTCATCCTATCGGGACTTTAGGTATGCACGCACATACACTCAGCATGCTTTTCAAGTCACCAGGACTTGAATTGTGGTCAGCCAGGTGAAATTCGGCTCCCTTAACTGCTGGGCTATGGGGCTGGCCCTCGCTCCCTTACTTGTTTCTGCACACCAAAGGAAGTGGTATTCTCCTATCCTCTTCTGAGAAGTAAAAGTGAATTACCAACTTGATGAGAAAATATACAGAACTGGCCATGCTGGAGAGGTGGGAAATGGTAACCCAGTTAACCCTGAAATCTTCTGCTCTTTTTTTTTTTTTTTTTTAGAGGTTTTTGCTATAAGGCGCGTGCGCTCGCCAGACAGACAGAGAGAGACAGAGAGACAGCGGAAATCACCCACCAGGGAGTTGGCCACGCCACAATCCCTTCTCCTCCATTCTCCTCTCAGGATCTTGGGCATGCACGCACACGCACCTGGCATGAGTTTAAGCCACTGGTCCGGGACTCGAACCGTGGTTGACTATGTGGGAGTCCAGCGACATAGCCATTACGCTAACTGCTGGTCCCGAAATCTTCTGCTCTTTACACCACATCCCTTAAGAGGAGGTGGCTCTACGGAGGATAGCTTTCAGGGGTCAGGAAGTCCATGGTCAACACCATAAATGATTCAGCTACAAATCTGACAGGTAGAGCAAGGAAGTGAGCGTGGGCCAAGGGCTGGGCTGGGATTTTCACACCAACTCCACATACTCAACAGGTGAGACATCCGGCTCAGCATGTAATGGCTCCCCCACTCTTGCTTCCTGTCGTGAAGGGTCCTGCAGACAGCTTGCTTTGCCACGGCCCAGTTCTCCCCAAGTCAATCGAAACCACTGGGCCTTCAGTTTCATGGACGATATTCATCTAGTGATGGCCTGAGCCTGCTTCTTCCTGCTTCTCTCTCGCTCTCTTCTTTCAGCCATCCTCCCAAAGCTCCCCTCACCACCAGCTTTAGGCCTTTTCTTCCTGATCCAATTCCTTCTGAAAGCCCCTCGATGATATCACTGTTTTGTTTTGCTTTCTTTAAAACCACAGAATTGTTGACCTTAGTCCTTCGTGACATCACTGATCATAATACACTGTTGAAATATAACCACCACCACAGGAACTGCCCTGCTCTAGGATGTGTACCCCGATTCAGAATCGAGTTTTAGGTAAGATGTCATTCCCTTAGACTGGAACACGAGGAATCTGATTCACGTCAGTCAATCAAGCACTGGAGTGGAGTGTGAATGTGAGGAGGGATCCAGAAAAGTCGTTGAATTTTGTTGCAAGTATTAGGGGAGAAAGGTCGTGTTCGGAGTGGAATGGACCAAAATGGCTGGGGAGGATACCTAATGGAATGGCAAAGAGCTATCAGAGAAACAAAGAAGGGGGTGAGGGGGTCTGGAGAAGCCAATGAGATTTTATGGTGGACAACTGGTATATGATGCTGACTTTGATAGAGGGTGAAGAGTTGTGGAACGGGGCCATGTAGCCATGTAACTTCAGAGGTGCTGAGAAACAACGCAGCACATCCACGAGGGCAGCTAGGTCTTGCTCATGGTCCTTCAACAAATGCTCGTGGAACATCTGTCGGAGGAGCTGGAGTGACACAGTACAGAGACTTATGGAATCTGAGATATGCTTTCTGTCCTTACAAGCCTTGGAGGAGGCATAAATATCCTTTTTTTTTTTTTTTACATTTATTTCCTGGTTTATGTGTCTATTTATTTATTGTGGTTTTTAAGCTGCTGGGTCTGGGACTTGAACTACAGTCAGCCATGTGGGAATCCGCACCTTTACACCAAGCCACCTGCTGGCACAAATATCTTCAACAAATGTGTCCAGGATTAGTCAGTGTGAGACACAAACCTATTACTCTTAGACATTCAGATCAGAGCAAGACCACATCTGGCTGAAATCAATGTACAGCACCCCAGTGAGGGAAAAGGGGTGGTAGGAAACAGCTGGGAACTGTGTGTGTGTACCCTCTCCCTACAACCTCCTTCATTCAGTCAGTGATTTCATTTGTTTCCCTTTTTTAAAGATTTATTTATTTACTTAATTCAATTTGTTATTATTTTTTAATTTGACCAGAGAAAGGCAGAGAGAGAAAGGGAAAGTGAGAAAGCAAGCCGCCAGGTCCAGGACTCGAACTGTGGTCGGCCATGTGGGGATCCAGTTCCTTTAACCACCACACCACCTGCCGGACCCCATTTGTTTTCATCTTACCTCATATCCACTGAATTCACATTGACTCAAGAGAATCCTGTAGAGCTGATCTCATCCACATCAACATCCAATCTAGGACTGGAGAAACACTGGGAATGGGCGTGCCCAGTAAAGGACTATGGGACATAGCCAAAATCTGCGGTTCGAGGAACACACGGAGCTTAGGAAAAGAAAGGTCAGAAAGAAAAACTACCACAGCTAAATAGAAAAGCAAATAAGAAAAGTTGGTGTCAGAGCAAGCAGATGGTATAGTGGTTAAGGGGCTGGACTCCCATATGGTCGACCACAGTTCAATTCCAGACCCAGCAGCTTGAAAATCGTACCAGAAAGACCAGCAGATGGTGTAGAGGTTGCATCGCTGGATTCCCACATGGTCAGCCATGGTTTGAGTCCTGGACCCAGTGGCTTCAAAATCATACCGGGCGTGTGTGCTTGGATGCCCAAGATCCCAAGAGGAGAATGAAGGAGAAGCGATTGTGGCATGGCTATTCCCCTGGGGTCGATTTCTCACTTTTCCTCTCATTGTCTCTGACTCTCTATGGCAAGTACACATGACCTAAGGCAAAAACCTCTCAAAACTTAAAGAAAAAGAGGGACCAGCAGTTAGCGTAATGGCTGTGTTGCTGGACTCCCATGTAGTCAACCGTGGTGTGAGTCCCGGACCCAGTGGCTTAAACTCACGCCGGGCGCGTGTGCGTGCGTGCCCAAGATCCCGTGAGGAGAATGGAGGAGAAGGGATTGTGGCATGGCTATTCCCCTGGGGTCGATTTCTCACTTTTCCTCTCATTGTCTCTGACTCTCTATGGCAAGTACACATGACCTAAGGCAAAAACCTCTCAGGAGAAAAAAAATAAATAAAGAAAAAAAAATCATACTATATACATGTGTGTGAGTGCCCCAAATCCCAGGAGAATGAAACAGAAGTGACTGTGGCCTGGCCATGCCCCCTGGGGGTGATTTCACACTTTCCCTCTTTCCCAATTTCCCTGTCTCTCTGGCAAGTGCACATACCCTATAACAAACAAACAAACAAAAACAAACAAACGAAGCCAACAAAAAATAAATAAAAAGAAAAGCAGGTGTCACAAACTTCAAGAGAGAAGAGTGGCTTAGGAATTTGACAGTCAGCACTGCCAGATGCTACAGAGGGGGCGGCTCCATAGCCTAGTGGTTAAGACAGCTGGATCCCACATAACCAACCCCCCAGTTCAAGTCCAAGACCCTGCAGCGTAAAAAACATTCTGTGTGTGCGTGTGTGCGTGTGTGTGTGTGCGTGCGTGCATGTGTGTGTGTTCAAAATCCCCAAAGGAGGGAGAGATGGAGAAGAGATTGTGCTTTGACCACTCCCCATGCGGCTCCATAGCCTAGTGGTTAAGACAGCTGGATCCCACATAACCAACCCCCCAGTTCAAGTCCAAGACCCTGCAGCGTAAAAAACATTCTGTGTGTGCGTGTGTGCGTGTGTGTGTGTGCGTGCGTGCATGTGTGTGTGTTCAAAATCCCCAAAGGAGGGAGAGATGGAGAAGAGATTGTGCTTTGACCACTCCCCATGTGGTGCTTTCTTCGCTCCCTCTCTGTCTCTCTGGTGAGTGCTCATGTTCTCTAGCAAACAAACAAACAAACAAAATGCTACAGAGAAATTAGAGTGAACGTTGAGCCAACCAGTGGCCTGGTTAAGGCAGCAGGATCCCACACAGCTGACCGTGCAGTTCAAGCTCTGGACCTAACAGTTTGAAAAACATACCAGGTGTATATGTGCATGTGCCCAAAATGCCAAAAGGAGAAATGGAGGAGAAAGGATTAGAGCATGGCCATCCCCCATGGATGGCCCAAGTAGATTTTTTTTTACTTTCCCTCTCTCTCTCTCTCTCTCTCTTTTTCCTCAGCAAGTGCACATTCCTTATAGCAAAATAAAATAAAAAATGGTGAAAATTAAACAATTAATAGTGCTTACAATACAAACCTCAGAAGACAATGTTAGAAACAAATCATCCACAAAGATCATTATTTTGAGTAGATTTAGGACACCAAGGCCATTCCTATTCACACCTATCTACTCACCATAAACAGTCATGGTCATACGTACTAGACTGCCATTGAGTATAGGAGTACCCGTGACAGGAAGAAAGCTGACAGCAGAGTCTGTGGTAGTATTGACAGAATGACCCCAAGAGATTCCATTTTGAGAGGTTTATAAATAAGATCTTAAGATTTGAACCAGTAATTCCCTTATTTGCATCTCTATTTTCTCTGCTGATATCTTCAGTTCGAGCACATCAACAATTAGCAAGAAGTTCTTATTAATCCATCTTTCCACTCCTGGTTGTTTTTTTTTTTTTTTTTTGAAGTTTGTTTCTTCCATGAGAGAGAGAGAGGAGGAAGCCCCAGTAGGATATTTTGTTCACAAGAATTTGGCCATCTTTGAGCACTCTAGGCAGCAGCACAAAATAGCTGTCTGAACGTAAGTTTTTATCAAAGCCAGAGTTGAATAACTTTCTAGTCACATTGTCTATGGCACATACTGGCCATTTGCAGAACTACTGGGTGGTCGGAAAAGTCGTGACGTGTTTTTCTATGCAAAAATGTCTCATGCTTTTTCTGACAGCCAATACATTTTCATTTTTTTAAGAATTATTTGATTTGATTTGATTTGTTTTAACTTGACCAGAGAGGGACAGAGCGAGAGTAAAAGAGAGAAGAAAAGTGAGAAAGCAAGCCACCAAGTCTGGGACTCCAACCACAGTCGGCCATGTGGGAGTCCAGCACCTTTAAACACCATGCCACCCGCCAGCCCCACACCTGAATTTCTTACTGATTAATGTACCAGCACACCCCACCTAGATGACTAGCTCGTTAGTGCCATGAAAGTTAGAACCATGCAAGTGAAATGCCAGGAACAAGGTGAGTGCTTCACAAATGATTTCTGGAGAAATGAATACCTCAGTTTGCTGTTATTAATACCGTCACCACCACGAGCTATTACTTTATATCAGGAATATACTTTCTATACAAATAGCTAAGAGGCCTGACTCTGAAATTAGGCCGCCAGAATTCAAATGCTGGGGACCTCTTGCTAGTTGCGTAACCTCTGAAGTTCCTTACTTTTTAAATAAGTGGGGTAATTAGGGTGAGTACCCCATAAGGTTTTTCTAAGGTAAATGAGATGTTACAGGTCAAATTGTACTTAGAATAGTACTTAGGGAGTTCTCAATACCTGTTAGCTATCATTATTGTTATTAAATAGCCCACATTATTTTCTATACTATCAAAGTGTTTTATTTAAGCACTGAGAGAAGTATTGTCCTTAAATGACATGTTGACAGGGCCAGCAGGTGGCGTGGTGGTTAAGGTGCTGGATACTCCCAACATGGCTGACTACAGTTCAAGTCCTGGACCAGGTGGCTTGCTGTCTCACTTTCCCTCTCTCTCTGTGTGTCTCTGTCTAGTTGAATTAAAATAAATGAATGAAGGGACCAGCAGTTGGTGTAATGGCTATGTCGCTGGACTCCCATGTAGTTGACTGTGGTTCGAGTCCTGGATCTGGTGACTTAAACTCACGCCGGGCACGTGTGCCTGTGTGCCCAAGATCCCAAGAGGAGAATAGAGGAGAAGGGATTGCAGCGTGGCCATTCCCCCTTGGGGGTGATTTCTCG